TAGACTTTTGTAGCACCCTTATTTGAGATATCTCCCTTGCTTTGTCTTGTTTTGCCACTGACGGTTTACCGCGTGGGTTTGTTTGCCGGAATGTCATCATTTGTAATATGTTGATGCTAGTAAGCATCCCTTGAAGCTTTAAAGATTTGCTAGATGGACGAGGTCCATCCCTTGTTATATAAAGTTTTGATATGTATCGTTTTGAAAGGACTTCGATCATTATTCATGCAAACCCTTTATTATTTATATCATTCACTGAGTATCCAAGCTCACCCTCTCTATATATATGTAGGTGATGAGCAAGAAGGCGGTGACGCCTAGATGTGATTCGCGAGCTTGTTTTGGATTTTTGTTATGTCGGCCTGACTTGTATTCATCTCGGCAGTCTTGAAAATTATGCTTCTCGACTTGTAATACTTGCATTTTGCATACGTCGGCTTGAGAAGCCTTTTGGTCAAGATGTAATTTGTACTTTACTTCATTTGTAACTAAGTTGTAACCCATGTGAAGATGTTTGCCATTTCATTTGACTTACGCACAGCTCTCATGGACTATTCTGATTTGTATGTATTGCTTCCGTACTTGTGAGCCCCATATAATTACTCTGTTGTGTGTGGATTTTGAAGATTGGCCTTCGGTAATCTCAGATTACTGGCCATCATGGCACCATCCTACTAGGGGCAGTTTGGGGTTGTGACATCAATCTAGGCTTAGATCACTAAGGACACAAGAACCATGCATAAATCAATTCAAAAATAAGTTCAAAAAGGTGGATGTTCTACCTTAAGTCTTGAATTAAAGGTCTAGGAGCTCAATTTTGCAATACTCTCTTCAATTCCTTCAATTTCCAAGCAAAACAAGATGAAAACCAACTCTCTTAGTTCTCTCTCTCTATGGTCGGTTGTGCTTAGAAATGAGCTGATGAAATGTGTATGAATGAGTGTAGTAAGGCTCAAATATGGTCTAAGGTAGTGGCCTACTCACAATGACATTTTGGTAGATAAAACCAACTTCTGTGTTTTACATTATCTTAAAGGTCTAGGAGCTCAATTTTGCAATACTCTCTTCAATTCCTTCAATTTCCAAGCAAAACAAGATGAAAACCAACTCTCTTAGTTCTCTCTCTCTATGGTCGGTTGTGCTTAGAAATGAGCTGATGAAATGTGTATGAATGAGTGTAGTAAGGCTCAAATAGGGTCTAAGGTAGTGGCCCACTCACAATGACATTTTGGTAGATAAAACCAACTTTTGTGTTTTACATTATCTAATCTAATTTAATCACACTAAATCACATTTTGAATAAACATGCTATAAATTCGCATAAATTCTAATGATCATAAAACACTAATCGATTTTGGGTTCGGCCGCCGATAAGGCCTTTAATTTGTAGTTTAAAGCATAAAACATAGACAGATAATTTAACAATCAAACAGATAGGAATGCATTTAAACTAGTACATTCAATCTATCAGTTCAGTTTTTCAGTCAGTTCAATTACTTATCATGATCAGTCTCAGTTTCGCAGCAATCAGTAACTTAATCAGTAATCAGTGGTGAGGGTTATTACAGTGTGTGTGTGTGTGTGTGTGTGTGTGTGCGTGACAATGATTGATTTATTTTTAGGGTTTAATTTGTGTGGTGGTGGGTTAGGTTATATTAGTGGTGGTTGTTAGCTCAATGAAAGTGGTCAGTTAGATTGGTGGTGGCTATGTAAGTGGAAATGGCAGTAGTATTTGGCCTTTTTTTCTTTTCTTTTTTTCCTTTTGTAGATAAAGGAAAGGGCGATGATGGTGGTTGATGGTCATGGTAAGAGATGTAAAGTGGAGAGAACAATGGTGGTTAGGGGGGAAATGAGATTGCTGGAGAGGGTGGTGTTTAGGAAAGGTAAACTATGATGTTGGTGGCCATGTATGGTGGTGTGATGACAATGGGTAGTAATAGTAGTTGTGAACAGTGAAATTAGTAGTGGTTATGTGATAAGGCTTGGTGGTTAGAAAGAGATAGAGAGAGAGGGGTGGCGACTGGAGGAAGAAAGAAGGCAAAAGAGAAAAAAAATTAACTATTTTTACAATTATTTTTGAATTTGTCCAAAAAAAAAAAAAAGTTGCCTTTTTATTTTTTTTTTTTCCCCCCCTTTTTTTTTTTTTTTTTTTTTTGACTCCCAATGGCACAACAAGGCACACATTCATATCTACTGACATTGAAGAGCCAAAAACAGAGCCATATTTGCATAAGCTAAAACCCACATCATATAAACAACAACTAAAGTGCTATAGTTATGGGGGGCAAAGCATGTAAATGTAAAGAGTAGCTCTATTTACGTACCATCATTTACGGAGTTAGATTTCATTCTAGTTTGAACTATAAACGATGTTGATCAAAAATCAACAAATATTATTTTTAGGACTTCAGTGGCATCTTATGAGATATCAAAATTTTCGAGTTTCAAAGAAATATAGTCACGAAGCTCAAACTTAAAAGAGTTGACAAAAATAAATATTATTTCTCACTCCAACTCCATACATGATTTTGATTTTTACTTCTCTCAATTCACACATCATGATACTCATAATATCTTCATCTTTAACGTCTAACCCTAACCCATCAATCACTGGTGCATTTCTACCGCTGGTACCACTTCACTGTCCTCCGCTACCCTACTTCCTCATCGTCCCTCCCCAACTTCCAATCCCTTCCCTCCTTCCCAACCTCTCTCATTTCTCTATCACTGATTATCATCATCATTCTTCTTCTTCTAACTTTCAACACCTAACCCTAGCTCACTACCACAAATCCTCCTCATTCATGAACCTCTTTTTTCTTCTCCTTCTAACTTTCAAAACCATAACCCTAGCCGACCACTCATTGCCACAAATCCCCCTTCTACAAACCTTCAACTGCGAACCTCCGTCTTCTTATAACTTTCAAAACCTAACTCTAGTCTACTATCTGTCACCACAAAACCATCGTCTTCTATTTTGTTTGGTCAGTGATAGTTGTTCATGTTCACCATAATCATTAGTTTAGGGATTGGTCGTGATAATGAGAGGGTTCTACCTACAGTAGGTCGGAGCGGATCCTCTAGAGTAACTCTCTAGAGTGATCTCCTAAAGTGGATGATCGGACGGTTGTGGTTAAGCCTCACCAAAACGACGTCGTTTTGGTGAAGACTTTCAAAAAAAAAAAAAAAAGAAAAACCAGATTCGGGGAGAGAAACTATCAGAGCCATTGAATACTTGAAAGCAGTTCTGTAGTTGTAGGGGGAGGAGGATGGTTTGGTGACTGGGGGGGTCGTTTGGTTGGTAGAGATGAAGATGCAAGAGAGGAGAGGAAAGGTGCAGAAGAGTGAGAAGAGAGAGGGACAGAGGTGAGAGGGAAGGAGAGAGAAAGAGACTTGTTGACAAGTGTTCTGGACAGTTTTGGGTTTGGGGTTTCTTGGGTTGAGAAAGAGACAAAGCTACAGAATAAGAAAAGAAGGACTAGGATGGAGTTGCAGAGAACCAGAGCCATGGCAGAGAGAAAGATTACTAGAGAGAGAGCGAGGTAGTAAGTGAGTGAGTTCCAGTGGGGATCTATGTGTTTGTGTGTATGGGTATGGTCAATGAGTGAGTGAGAGGCGATTTGAATCCCCCCCAGTCACCAAACCATCATCCTCCCCCTACAACTACAGAATTGCTTTCAAGTATTCAATGGCTCTAATAGTTTCTCTCCCCGAATCTGGTTTTTCTTTTTTCTTTTTCTTTTTTTTTTGAAAGTCTTCACCAAAACGACGTCGTTTTGGTGAGGCTTAACCACAACCGTCCGATCATCCACTTTAAGAGATCACTCTAGAGAGTTACTCTAGAGGATCCGCTCGCACAGTAGGTGGTTTACAATGGCAAAAAGCTAGTAAAAAGGTAGTGGTGGCTGGCAAAAGAATGATAAGCAGTTGACGAGAAGAAGCCATTGTAGTAAAGGCTGGTGAAGAGATGGCAGTGGCTGTTATTAGCTGAAAGTAACGGTGAGGGTTGTTTGGGATAAATAAGTAAATTTTTTAATTTTTTTATGAAATATGAGTTGGGTATGGGTTGGGTTTGAAATAATGTGGTAGAGAAATGATGTGATTTAAATAAGATGATGTGAGTTAAATAGAATAGTAATTTTTTGATTTTTAAACTTTTTTTTCTTTATTATGCCAAACCAAACCTAAATAAAATTGAGAAAGTGGTGTGAATTAAGATAATTGGTAGCCATAGTAGTAAAGGCTAGTGAAGAGATGGCGGTGGCTGTTATTAGTTGAGAGTCACAGTAATAATTAAAGGGTTGTTTAAAATGTTCTAAATAAGTGTATTTTTTAATTTTTTATAAAAAGATGTATAAAAAAATAGAGAAGAGATATTGATTGATGTGATCTAAAAAAGATAAAAAGATAAAAGTATGAACTTATTTAGGGGTTGTTTGGAATGATCTAAATAAGTATACTTTTTATATTTTTACGAAAAGATGTGCAGAAAAATAGAAAGGTGATGTAATAAAAAAAGATAAAAAGATAAATTATTTTTGAGTTGTCAAACTTAACCTTAATCTTCCGCCAAACCAGGCCTAAATAAAATTGAGAGAGTAGTGTGAATTAAGATAATCGGTAGTGTGTAAATACAATTTATCCAAAGTCAAACACAAATCACGTGTAATGCACGGTTGGTTGTATTTGACTTGTATGAAACACACACAATCAATTTGTGTTAAAAATCAAATTATGGATAAGCTCTTATGTTTATCTTCCCCACCAAGGATCCCCTAGAGTGAAATTTCCCTAAAGTTTCCTAGAGTGCTATATTGTGTGGTTGAGATTTACTGACAAGCCACATCAGAAAAATTGACGTGACTTGCCAATAAATCTCAACCATACACTGTAGCACTTTAGGAAACTTTAGAAAAAAATCACTCTAGAGGATCCTTGCTCTATCTTCCCACCCATCATCGACTACTACTTTTTTGTTTAGTGTCTCTCCCAAACAAGCCCTCCATTTCCTACCAGAATAAAATCTCCTCTCACATATCCATATATATAAAAAGAAATGTTTGGTGCCATAAAAGAAATGTTTTGGTACCAACCATGTCCCTTTATATATAAATAATCACTACCGTCCACCTGTCCTACTTTTTCGATTCCCAGCTATTCTCAAGCAACTCTCATTGATTCAATTAGGGTTTGCTCTTTTGACTCTCTCTCTTCTCTGCTCGTGTTTCATCGATTTTGGGGTCTCTCTCTCTCTCTCTGATGATGGGGGCTTGATTTTAGGATCTCAATTTTCAACCTGTAATCATTGACCCCTGTATTTGTCTCTTTCTCTCTGAATTTTCATTACCAATTTGGATCAAACATTTATATATATGTTTAAGCATATGATTGATGGAGAGTTGAATTGAGAATGGCTAGGTCAATTGGAGAAGTTAGCGCTGCTGGTAGTGGAGTGATGGATTTGAAGTCAAATAGAATGAGCTTTGTGGGATGTCGATTTTGGTTTCGATCGGCCATTGACTCGTATTCGGTCGCTTGCGAGGCATTTTCTGAACAGTTTTTCCTCTGATTCCAATTTGGAAAATCGCTTCTTGTTCCTTCTGTTTGGTGTTTTTTTGAATTCTTCTCTTCTTCTTTGTGATTCTTTTGTTTGATTCGCAATGGATTCGTTAGCTGTGAATGAGATTTATAGGAAATTAAAATCAAAATTAGAGCCTGATGAAGCTGATGTCGTGGAGAAATCTCCAAAGGGTCGATACATTCGGGTATGATAGTATGATAGAGATTATATGAATCTTTTTTTATTATTATTTGTCTTTTTGTATCAATAGTTTGTTTTGGATTCAATAGATTTCATATGATTAGTAATTAATTCTATGTCAATGACTAATTTCAAATGAACAAAAATGTGATTTTTTTTTTTTTTACAATATGCTTTCTTTGAATGTGAAAATTGGAAATTACGTATCCATCAATTATTATTCTCTCTTTTGATTTACTGGGTTTAGTGATACCATCACCGTTGTTTTTCTTCCTTCAGTATAATGAAATCTTGGGGAGAGGAGCATTCAAGATTGTGTATGGTTCCTAGACCCGTCTTTTAGTTTTTTTTTTTTTTTGTTTTTTGGGCTTAAATTGTGTAGTTCATATATGACATAGTTAATGCTGCTCTTTTATTGCTATAAATCAGCATCTGCTTGTAAAATTAATTTGCTTCGTTTTCTTTATTATTGTTATGCGTAGATATAAGGGATTTGACGAAATTGATGGAATTGAGGTTGCTTGGAACCAAGTGACTGTTGAGCATGCATTGCAGTCACCGGAACATCTGGAAAGATTGTATTCGGAGGTTCACTTGCTGAAGACACTTAAACATGAAAATATCATTAAGTCTTACAGTTCTTGGGTGGATGATAAGAACAAAAGTATCAACATGATTACTGAACTATTTACTTCAGGGAATTTGAGGCAGTGAGTTCTGTTGACTTTCTTATTTATTTTCTCACTTTGTTGCGTGGCATATGCATGTATTAATTATTGTATGGTCATTTTGGGGTTTAGATATCGTAGGAAGCATAAGAGTGTTGATATAAAGGCCATCAAGAATTGGGCTAGGCAAATTCTCCAAGGTTTATGTTATCTTCACAGTCACAATCCACCTATTATTCATAGAGATTTAAAATGTGACAATATTTTTGTTAATGGAAATAATGGTGAAGTCAAAATTGGAGATCTTGGCTTGGCAACTATCATGCAGAAGCCTACAGCCCATAGTGTTATTGGTAATTATCTCTTTCTTTGGAAATTTAACAATTCGTTTGAAACATCTCTTTTAAAATTCTTAATCTATTTGTTTTTCTTGTAGGTACTCCTGAATTTATGGCTCCAGAGCTTTATGAGGAGGAATACAATGAACTAGTTGACATATATTCTTTTGGTATGTGCATGTTAGAGTTGGTAACATGTGAATATCCATATACTGAATGCAGAAATACAGCACAGATATATAAAAAGGTCTCATCTGTAAGTTCACAAACCACTAGTATTACATCTTTCATTCACAAAGTGATCATTTTATTGTCTTTCTTAACTTGCTTTTGTTGTAGGGTATAAAGCCAGCTGCTCTTTGTCAAGTGAAAGATCCCCAAGTCAAGCAGTTTATAGAAAAGTGTCTTGTTCCGGTATATCTGAGATTGTCTGCAGCAGAGCTGTTGGAAGACCCTTTCCTTTCATTTGAAAACTCAAAGGAAACTCTGCAGTTGCAGAGTTATGTGCCTAAATCAATAGATTTGCAAAAGCCTGATTCCCTTACCATGGAAACAGATTCTGAACACAATAAGCTTTCGGTCAGTACTTGTACAAAAAGTGCCATTGAAACTACTCATGTTTCAGCTTTAGAATTGAGGAGATCCAATGGCCACAATGAATTCATATTAGAGGGGGAGATGAATGATGATGACAACTCATTTTCATTCACATTGCGCATTGTTGACTTGTGTGGTGAGTAACAGTCCTACGTGAATAAAGTCTTTCTTTGATTTTCTCATAAGCATGGGCTAAAAGTTATTTTTGTTTCTAGCAGGTCATGCGAGGAATATTCATTTTATGTTTTTCCTTGATGCTGATACTACACTTTCAATAGCTGGTGAGATGGTTGAACAACTTGATTTGCCATATGAAGATGTCACTTTAATAGCTGAGTTAATCGACAACTTGATTGTGAAACTTGTACCCAATTGGAAGCCTTCGTTTGGAAATCCTAGCAATTTACAAAGTTCATCCAAGGGTTCTTCACATGGGAATGATGAAAGCTTTATGAGGTGCTCTTGGGCTTCAGGATCTACTGGAGTTTCTGGTGAAGTAGTTCTCAAGCAGCATGTTTCCACATCAAATACAAGTAATGAGACATTAAGAAATGAATGGAATAAGTTTTCAAATAGGCTTCAGTTTGAAAGATGCGAAATCATGAAGAATTCAGAGCTTTCTTTTTCATGTAGTGCACTATCAAATGATTTGGGTTCATTGAGTATCTCTACTCAATCTGTAGCTGCATATGAAGATCAGTGTGATGAATTGAAGCTGGAGCTTGATGCAATTGAAATGCAATATCGCCAGTCGCTCCATAAACTCATCCGAATGAGGGAGGAAGCAATAGAAAATGCCAAAAAGAAGTGGATCACAAGGAAGAAGATATCTGTTGTTTGATGTAAATACATTGTTTCAACATATTCTTGCTGGAGAGAGAGAGTTTTGTTCTTAAACAGATGGGTTATTCTTGCGATGTCAGTTTGTTTCTGTAACTAGTGATTTGGCATCTATAGAATTTGATTTGTTTTTGTTATTTTTCAAATATTCACTGCTTGTTTTTAAATATTTTTTTAATATTTATTTTAAATATTAAATTTTAGAAAATTTTGGATCACCCATATATATCTAAATCATAATAAATTATTTTGCTAATACTTAAAATAACAAAATATTTTTTTTCAAAAAAAATAAAAAATAAAATATTTTTCTTCAAAAATAAAAATAAAAAAATATTTTTTTGAATAGAGTTTTGAAATGAGTTTGATTATGAGTTTTGAAAATAGTTTTTGAATTGAGTTTTGAAAACTTTATTTGATTATAAGTTTTGAAATTTTTTGATTCAAATAATAATTTGAAAAGAGAATGAGACGCCACCCTAGTTTTTGTTTTTATTTTTATTTTTTTGTAATTTGTAATTTCTCTTAGGCTTAGTGGTGAAAAGTTTTTTAACACTGCAAATCTTTGTATCATCTACTATTTGGTGATCGCTTATGTTGTTTATGAAGCCACTGGCTGTCTTATTAAAACCTATTCCTAGGCCTACATTGCAAAAGTGTGTTGTGTGAGAAGCAGGCTGTAATTTCCAAGTTGAATGCTTCTGTTATGTCTTGCTCTCAGTAATTCACAGACATTTGGAGCACCACTTCACTTTGCAAATGTCAAGACCAAAAAGAATCTGTGTTCGTGATTGATGATGCTTTAGTTATTGACAGGCTATTTGTTGTGAGGAATAGCAAAACCTTGTTTACATATCAATCTATATGCATGTGTATGTTAGCAGTGACCCAACTGTTGACTGCCATCAAACCAACCCTTGCCATGGAGTGCTGGGCATGATATTGTGAAAGAACAGAGCCTTGTATAGGAAACACCTTGCCTGAGAGATTTATATGCCCAGGTGAGCCAATCCTTTTCCTTGACAATCAAAAAGCTTGAAATGTGCTTAAAAAAAAGAAAAAGAGACCAATTTCCAGCCATTTGGCATTTCTAACAACCTATGTGAGGGAATAGGCCTTTTGATGTTTAATTTTGTCAATTAATTTGATTTATCATATGGTTATTCAAGAAGGACATTATCAGCTGCATTCATTCATGAATCACGTCCAACATTGATGCTTGTTGAGTTAATAGGCCTTTTGTTCTATGGGTACACATTTCATTGTGGCTGGCTCATATATAACTTTGGGAATTTGAATGTTTTGAGGAGCTTATTTGGGTGAAGACAAATCAACTTCTGCGAATAATCTGAACTGGGCAAACAGGCCATTGGCCTGTGGTAAGTAGCATTGCCTTTTTGGAATAAAGGAAATCCAGTAGTAAACATGAATATTGATACTGATGTCACACGTGAATGCCCGCATCTTTCTTGATTTTATGGCTTATGGTTGTATTGTTTTTCTTCCTCTTCTTTTTTTCTTTTTTCTTTTTTCTTTTTTCTTTTTTTGTTATGAAGATTGTTTATTGCTATTGTATTCTTATGGTTATTATTGTTGCCTTACTTCACTCGAATATTCTAGTTCTGGCATTATTGAAGTAAAGTTGAGTTAATGTGCATGCCCTTTTGCAGTTGTGCCTCATGCTGGATAGGACAGATCCAACTAAAAGAAAGCTGGAACTGTTTGCTCACATGCATAACACTCATGCAGGGTATGCTTTCTTAATCTGCTTATCTTCTGAACTAAAACATTTATTTTCTGAAAGAGAGCACCTTCTGATTCAACATTTTGGCATGCATGGGGGGGAAAACAAAAAAAATAAGAATACTGGTTATGCTGAGTTTTACCAGGTTATGTATTTGCAAAAATTGTGTTCTAAGAAAATCAGTGTTCTTTTTTTCCCAAAAATCACACCTCACTTATATTTTTTGCATTCTTATACCATATGTATGGAAGCATTGTGCAATCTTTCGTGTAATTCTATCTTCTTGGTTCTCTTGTAGCTTTTCAAAAATGATCTACATTTGCTGATCTTTCAATTAAATCAGGTGGATGTCACTTGTTCTCTCTCTCTCTCTCTCTTTTAATAATAATTTGCACTAACTTCCGTGATCCAAGGAAATGAGACTGGGACAATGGTCAATTCCAGCTATCAAACTTGTTATTCAAGTATTTTTATCAAACTCACGTTCATACAAACTTTATTTTATGAACACAAATAGTTTCGAACTTATTTTTTATACTTCTGTTAGTTTGTGAAATCGTATTTTAAAAACATGACTTTATTGAGGTAAAGTTGTGTTTTTTTTTACTTCAATTAGTTTATTGTAAAAAAATTTAAAGCATGATTTCAAAGTTAAAAAGTAGAATTTATTCAAAAACATAACTTGTTTCAGTAAATCTAAAATCTTGTTTCTAAAGCATAACTTCAAAAAAATCAATTGTGATTTAAAAAATAAGCTCAAACTGCTTAGGTTTGATTTAAAAAAAATCCCGATTATTCAAAAATACAATGACCTTTAACAACCCCCCCCCCCCAAGATAGAGAGAGAGTATGCATCTTTGTTTTTAACGTACTTCAACACTTTTTGGACTAGAATAGTTTGATTGGTTGTTTGACATGAAAATTGGTGCCATTTTTTCTTAGAAAAAAGCAAAAGAGGAAATATTTTGTCTTTTTATGTCTCAAAAGGAGTAGAATCAAAGCCAGAACACATGTTACTGTGTAAAGCTGGAAATAAATAAAACACATTTGCCATTAGAGAAGCATAACACTCCTTACTAGATTCAAACTCTTACCCTCTTAGTCTCTTAATTTTCCAGGGAAAAATAAAATCAGATTGATCAAAATACAAAAATATTCACGGAACTAACCAGAAAACCCACTTCATAAAGGGAAGATAGACATATTGGAATAATAAATGGTTACAAAAAAATCAATGTCAACTGGATATTCATTTTTATGAGATGTGAAATTACCATAATGTCCTCTTAATCTTATATGCTGCCACTGACCAGTGCACACATCAAGAAGAATCCAATGGAAGCCGAAAACGAGATAACCACCGGACTAGTAGTTAGCAGCGATGACGATGATGATGTAGAGGGAAGCGAAGAGGAAGGCGCCATTGGGATGGAGCCAAACACGTTAGGGTAAGAAGGTGCAGTTGCTGGACCATGAGAGGGTGAGAATGCTATTGAAGACGCATTTCCAGCAACAGAAACATGGAGTTTCTGGGATTTCTCGCAATGACCCTTTACGCCACTGGTGAAGTAAAACTCTCCTGCTTTGGTGATGTTAAAAAGGGAATTGCCATTGTTCATGTACAAGATTGGATTTTTAAGATTGCAGGTGCTGTATGATTGCTCTGTGACTTGAATAACTGAATCTTGACTTGGTGGGTATAGGAACACTGTACAGAAACACAAAGCAGATTCAAAATGTGATCAAAATTGATACACAATGTAGGGAAGATGAAAGAAGAAAGGGAGAGAATGAGTGTGTGAGACAAATAACTTACTTAGAGAGTCTCCAATGGTGAATATATGATTGTTGGACTTGGCCCAGTTGGTGTAGACATGTGGATTTGATGAAGTGGGTATGCCCCAAGCATCTAAATCTCCTACCTTGTATTGGTAGCACTCAACTTTGTTTTGCATCAACAAAAGGAGAAACTGAAGAGCATACAACAAGAACTGGTATTTTGGACTAGTAACACCACTACTAGCCATCTCTCTCTCTCTCTCTCTCTCTCTCTCAAATCTAGGAGGGGGAAATATTATTGGTGAGTGAGTGAGTGTCTGTGGACAGATTGGCAGAGGGATAAAGGACAAGTTGAAGGTGTTTTTACCTGAATGCCCCCTCTTCTTCATTTCTTGAACTGTCCAAAGGCAGGGTTTTTTTGTTCACTATTTAGTTTACTTAAAAAATGTTTACTTAGGTTGTGTGTTTGACTAGTGAATTTTAACCTTTTCCTTCCCCTTTCCTTTCTGTCCACAAATTCCTACTCAAAATCCAAGATCCAAACAGTCAAAAGTCCATATGGGTAACATTCCAATTGTCCAAACACTAATAAATTGGATGCTGAAGATGATGAGATGATTTTGACTTCGATGGTTGGGTGTTAAGTTAAAATCAGATAGAGTGAAAGTGGATTAATAGGAAGCCAAAAGAGTAAAAGAGCTCTGATAGATGTATAGAGAGAACAGGATATAAAATATACAGATATGAAATAAAAATTATTACCATTTATAGTTGCGAACATATTATTATCTCACATTTATATATTCTGTGTTTGATTTTCTCTATTCACTTGGACCTTTTAAATTTTAATAAAGGGGTGGAGTAAATAAAAAGGAGTCAATTATAAGGACGATAGATAGAGAGCAATAGAACATGGGACAGTTGGACAAGAATGGATGCAATCCAAATCCATCAACATGGGGGGTATGATAGAGTACTGAAGTTGTCATATAGTAAAGTTAAATGCGGATAGTGTCACAAACTCACAACTCATTATCATATATCTATCATTCATACATGTGTAAATGGGACATGAGAAAACAGTGAATTCTGTCTCCACTCACATGGAGAGTCTTCTTCAATTAAATGAGGTCTCTCTCTCTCATATATTATCTTCAACCGACTTGGATAAAAAATACAAAAATTGACTTATGCTAAGTGCTAGCCAGTTCCCCAGCATGGGTGATTGGGGTGAAATGTTTTGGAAATAAGTTTAAAAAATATTATCAAGTGTTTTCAAATAAGTGAAGTGTTACAAAATTGACAGAGAATGTGTCATGTTATTTTCTTTTGTGATGGGACAGAAAATATATTCATCCTTTCTCGTGAAGGTTTTCATACTATAGTTTTGCCCACATAACACAAAAGACCCTAGATTCCAGTTAGGGGTTTCGCTTAGTAAGCACTTCAATGATCAAGTCAATTACCTCTCAAAGAATTCTTCATATCTATCTGAGTGGTCAGATATTGCATACCTTTGTTGTGAAGGCTCTTACTCCATTTATAGAGTTCTATTTGTTCTTTTGAAATGATGAATGTACCGTTAGAAGTGATCCTTTGTGACCTTCCTTTTGATAGGATCTATTCTCCTCTGTTGTTTGTCCTTTCGTACATTTTTTTCTATTTCAAAAGATTTTTTGGCCGCATCAAACCCTTTTATCCTGTAGTCAGCCATCGACAGCCGATGAAGGATCTTTCCACTTGGCACCTCTTTACTTCTCTGCTAAAGTGGTGGTGCCCATATGGATACCGTCGTCACGCTACGGTCAGCGTCTTCTTGATCATGTAATATTCTCAGTGTTTATAAGTCTGTTCTCCACTCGCACATCTTTTTTCTTTTTGCTAATTTGCTATTGTATTTGGTATAAGATCCTTCGCCCCAAAATTTTTCTATCTCATTGTTCCAATAATTGGATCATACTTTGAATTCACATGTCTTTAGATTTCCAAAAATAACCAACAATTGAGAGTGCATTAGAACATAATTATGAAGGATGCATTACATTGCTATATATCATTACAGATTTTCCATATTGCACTTTTTCAAGTTAGCATGTAGAGCATGTTTGGTGTAGCTTGTAAGAGCATCCACAATAAGAGCATCCACAATGAACTCATTAAGAGTCTATTTGTGTTCCATGTTAGACTGGTTAGCTAGTGAATGTTATCTTGAAGCCACAATGGATTCATTAAGATGGCCAAAACTGTCAGGTGTTAATTGTGGCGAGTGAGTCAAAGAGAAAGGGACTGATTGTTGTTGCAATGTCCACTGTACTTTTTATATTTATGTTATTATTTGTTTATAAACATTTTAACACATATCTTAATATCTCCATTGCAACCTCCTACACACTCAACTAACCAATCTTAACACACAAAATTGAATTTCACTTTTTGTCGTATAATGCATTTTAGCCTAGTGCCATGTGCCGCTATTCCATTATATGAGATGCGTATACATAATAAAATAAAATAAAGTGTTTATACAAAGGAAATGAAAAGGAGAGCATTAACAAAAGAAAAGAAAAGTGAAATATTGCTTTACCAAATTAAATACAAAAAACATAAAGACAAATATTAAATTCCTAAAATTAATAGTCTAAAGTAGAGAGAAAAAATTAAGGACGACAAAGAAAATAATGTAATTAAATTAATTTTATTCCATTTGAAGAAGAGTTGAAACTTCATCATCACTAGATTCACAATAGTTTCCAAAAAAATAAGAGTCAAAAATTTGATTTGAGGGTCTAATTGGATATTCAAAAGGTCAAACACTTGAACCAATATAAGAGACAGTATTGCAAAAAAAAATTTGTAGGCAACTACTAGTGCAGTGTGACCACTGGCCATCACTACTTCATTTATTCTCATAGTTTTAATAAATAATAAATAAATCAAAGATCATTTTCAAGGTGTATAATAACATGACCCTATTCGAATTATTTAATTGTCACTAATACAGTTACATTAGCTTTAAGAGCATAGTATTGCAATTGCAAATGTACCAACTTGCCCAACCAACCATTAGTTAGGTTTTAGACCATTCCCTACCACCCTTCATTCGTCAAACGTTGCTCCTTCATTTTTCATCACCATTACATGGCTCATTCTGTAAGAATTCCAAATAAGTCTGTATATTCAATTGTGTCAATTTAAAAAAAGTTCATCAGTTTATATAGCCCTAAATCTATGACTGAAAAAGGAAATACTAACTAATTCATATTTACACAATCATGACATATATACACAACATGCCATATATACAATATATTCTTACACTCCGCTCAAATTCAAGGTGTTTTAGCAAAACATACTGAGAGTTTGCTAAGAAAAAACTAAAACCGAGCAATAGTATGAGTCTTGGTGAAGAAGTCCGCAAGTTGCAAAGCCAAGGAGATTAAAGGAAACGAGATAGAGCCAGACTACAGATGCTGACGGACAAAGTAACAATCAATCTCAATGTGTTTCGTCCGTTCATGGAAAATAGTATTGTAGGCAATCTGAATAATACTGCGGTTGTCACAATAGAGAGACGTCGGAGAAGACTGAGGTACACCCAACTCAGTCAAGAGACAACAAAGCCAAACAATCTCAGCAGTGGCATGAGCCATAGCACGATACTCTGCCTCAGCAGTGGAATGCGCAACAACAGTCTGTTTCTTTGCCTTCCAAGAGATCAAAGAATTACCAAGAAACATGCAGAAACCAGAAGTGGACTTGCGATCAGTGACATCACCAGCCCAATCAAAATCAACATAGGCCACCAAGTCCAAAGAGGAAGTAGAAGACAATAGTAAACCCTGAAATATAGTGCCCTGGAGATAGCGAAGAATCTGAACCAAAGTAGCCCAATGGGTAGACCGAGGAGCAGAGACAAACTGGCTAACCACATGAACAACATAGGCAAGATCAGGACAAGTAACCGTCAAATAGACTAAGCAACCCACGAGCTCTGAATATAACTTGGGATCATCCAGAGGGACACCATTAGTAGAGTTAAGTTTCTCATTAAGCTCAATAGGTGTATCAGAAACCTTAGTATCAGTAAGACTGGCACGGTGAACAACCTCGTTAGCATACTTGGCCCGAGACAGAAAATAGCCCTTTGGAGAAGAGGCAACCTCAATACCAAGAAAATACCGTAATAGACCCAGATCATTTATTTCAAAGGTGTGGAAGGGATGTTGCTTGACCTTAGAGATAGCAGAAGAGTCAGAGCTAGTGATGATTATATCATTCAGATAGAGTAGGAGAGCAACAAAACCAGCCGAGGTATATCTCAAAAACAAAGCAGAGTCGAAAGTAGAAGGATGAAACCCAAGCTCGGTAACAGCAGTCTGAAAGCGATCATACCAAGCACAAGGAGACTATTTCAAACCATACAGCACGCCGAAGATAACAAACATGCCCAGAGGAGTGGAGAAGACCAGGGGGAGGACGCATGTAGACCTCCTTAGTGAGATGATCGTTAAGAAAAGCATTCTTAACATCCATCTAATAGAGAGGCCAATATCGAACAGCAACAACCGAAATCAAGGTATAGACAGTAGTCATCTTGGCAACACAGGCAAATGTCTCCTCATAATCAATACCATACTCCTGTGAGAAACCCTTGGCAACCAAGCAAGCTTTGTAGCACTTGAGAGAACCATCAAAATGAGTCTTGACTTTATAGACCCATTTGTAACTATCTAGATTCTTGCCAGTAGGTAAAGAAACCAACTCCAAAGTGTTAGTCTTCTGTAAGGCAAACAGCTCATCCTCTCCTGACAGGCCTTCGTGTAAGACTGTGGTTTTGAAAAAGAATGAATAACAGACAAAAAGGTACGATAGGAAACAGAAAAACATGTATTAGACCAACCCAACTTGTTTGCAGGACGACGCTCACGAGTAGGATATCGATGTGCAGTAGGATTAGAGTCGTCAGAAGCAGAAGGAGCAGCAATAGGAGTAGAGACAACTAGTGGTAGAGGAGCCTGGCGACGAGAATAGACCAACAACGAAGGGGAAGAAGAAGCCGAATAAGGAGAATGAGCCATAGGTGACGCAGACGGAGAAGTAGGAATGGGCTCAAGAGGAACAAACAGTGGAGATGTACTCATCAGGCGAGACCTTAGAAGGAAATAAGTCAATGCGAACCAAATCCTCTTTGAAAACTGGAACAGTGAGAGGGAAAAGCTGAAAGTAAGATAGACGTTCGAGAAAGGCAACATGACGGAAGACATATAGGCGACGAGAGACAGGATTGTAACAGCGGTAGCCTTTCTGAGTAAGACTGTAACCTAAAAAGACACAGAGGACAGATCGGGCACTATGTTGGGTCTTATCTTTACGGAAAAGAAAGACAAAACAGGCAGACCCAAACACACGAAGAAGGGAGTAGTTAGGAATTTGGGAGAACAAAGCCTCATAAGGAGACCGACCAGAAAGAAGGGGAGTAAGCATGCGGTTGAGAAGAAAAGCAACAGTAAGAACTGTCTCCCCCCAGAATGAAGCCGGAACTGAGGCAGAGAGAAAAAGAGACCTAACTGTCTCAAGAAGATGACGGTGTTTACGCTCGGCTTGACCATTTTAGGCAAGTGTATTTATACAAGAAGTTTGGTGAATGGTACCCAAATTGGCCAAATACTCACAGAACTCATTTTTAAAATATTTTCCACCCAAGTCAAACGGTAACACTTTAATGGTAGACCCAAACTAAGTAGTAAGCATAGACTGAAATGTACGGTATATCTGATAAAAATCAGACTTACGAGTCATAAGATAAACCCAAATGTAACGAGTGCAATCATCAACAAATGACATATAGCATGTAGAACCCCCCTTGGTGAAAATAGGAGAAGGGCCCAAACATCAGTATGAACTAAAGAAAACGGTGTAGTAGATATAGAAGTACTGTTACGGAAAGGTAAGGCTATCATTTTGGCAAGTTTACACCCCCGACACTCGGTAAGTTGACTATGAGAAACTTTACCTAGTATACTGACTGAGCTAAAAACCGTAAGCGGTCAACAGACAAATGTCCTAATCTGGAATACCATAAATAGAAAAGACTGGACAAAGAATCTAACTGAGAAGAAGAAAAGACAGTCGGAGAGGTAATCATAGACAGATACAATCTTTCCATCACATAAAGGTCTCCAATTCTACAGCCAGTCCCTAACTGCTGCTTAGACATCTGATCCTGCACAGAACAGATAGAAGAAGAAAATATAACATCAAAACCAGAGGCATCAAGTTGACTGATAGATAATAAACTGACAGCTAACTGAGAAACATAAAAGACAAAGGGAATAGAGACAACAGACATAGCAAATGGTAAGACAAACCCAATAGATATAACAGACATATCAAACCCATTAGCAGCATTGGCAGTAATAGAAAAGGGAGGAAGAGTACAATTTTGAAGTAATGAGAGATGGAGAGTCATATGATGAGAGGTGCCAGAGTCAAAAATCCAGACAGAGGAAGAAATACCTGAAGACGACCCAATCAAACCTAAATGAAGAGAGGAAACAATGGAAGCAGACGGTATATGCTGAAGCTGACCAATCTGAGCACTCAGGGAAGCCAAGTCAGGATTAATAACGGGAGCAGATCCAGTATAAGCAGCAAGAGAAGCACGGAATTGGTTTTGAGACTGCTGAAAATATAGGGCAAACAAACGTCCCTTCTTGGGACAATGGTACTTCCAATGACCTCTCTGATGGCAAAAGGCACAATCATTAAGAGCTAGAGACATCGTAATAACCAGAGCAATGAGGGGTTCAAGTGTAATAAATACAAAATAGACCAAATTAGCCAAACTAAGGTCAAAGGTAATAACCAAACCCAAACTAACTAAATCAGAGATCTTGCAAAACAGAGAGAGACTTCGAGAACCAGAGAGAGACAAAAGGAGATTGTAGTTGAGAGAGACGAACCACAGTGACGAAACAGATGACTAGACAAAGCAAACAAACCATATCCAATCTCAGATGGATCGCGAATAGAAGATGACGAGCTGCGATTTGAAGCAGATAGGTCACGACTGAGAAAGAAATTCTGGGAGCCGTGGAACAATAACTGAAACAGAAATGGGTCATGATCTCGATACTGGGTAGATCGTGATTCCGACAAGACCAAATACTGATTGCGAGTCTGGTACAATCATGACTCCAGAGAACCACAAACGAGAAGTCTACAAATCGAGAAGAAAAAGCTTCGAACCAAAGAGAACTTCGAACTTTGAACCAAAGAAAACTTCGAACGATTAGAGGCAGAGCTAGGGTTTTACACACGGCTCCGATACCATGTAAGAATTCCAAATAACTCTGTATATTCAATTATGTCAATTTATAAAGAGTTCATCAGTTCATATAGCTCTAAATCTATGACTGAAAAAGGAAATACTAACTAATTCCTATTTACACAATCATGCCATATATACACACAACATGTCATATATACAATATATTCTCACACATTCATGGTAAGCCTCATCGCCCAACCCGCAAAAGTAAAGCTGAAATCTACTCATGAACTAAGCTTAACAAGTTTTTTTTGCCCGCTTTGGGTAAGGTCACGAGCCAAAACTTTAGACCCAAGCCTTACCCAAGAGACTTAGTCCAAATGGGCTCGTGATTGGGCATGCAAGTCAGGTTGATGGGCATGCCAATGGGCTACTTCTCATGAAGCAATGAGTCGGGCTTGTCGGCTTAGCCCAACGAGCCATGATTTAAATCTTAATTTTTTAGTTTTTTTCTTTTTCTTCGTATTATTTTTCATAAATTTTATGAACTCATAGGCCAGCCTGATTGGAAACCCAGCCGGCCATCTCTTATTTGCCAACAGGCTAGGTCAAGTTTCAAACCCAAGGCCCAAGCCCAATCTTAATTGGGTCAGGTAAAAGCCCAGCAGGCCGGGCAAACCTTGCTGCGTCGCTTTGGAGCAAATGATAGGCTTAATTCATGTTATTCAAATACACACAAACTTAAATCCCTGCAAATCATCAAACGATAACTGCACTTCTTATCCACACCACTAGATAGTGGGATTGTTTAATGCAATTTATATGAATTATTTAGAAAAAAATTACATATTAGTGGTAGTTAGAAAAAATATTTACAAAAAAAGTGATAAACATTATAACTATTAATAATTAAAATTACAAAAAAAAATTCAACTTTATGCGATAATTTTTCAAAATTCACTCCGAAAAGTAATTTCCACAATTACTTATAGTAACTTCGTTTTCATTTTCATTTTCATTTTCATTTTCTAGAAGTTTGATGCAATTTCTTATAACTTATTAGGCAAACTCACATAAATAAACTAAAAAAATGAATTTATGAAAGTTGAGAAAAATATATTTTTAATTCGAAAATATTATAGATCTCAAATTTTCTATCAAATAAATAGCTAAATATCTCACATGAGAAGTCTACAAAGATATAGACTCCATACTTATGTAAGACATTTAATCATTTATCTGATAAAAAATTTGATATCCCTAACATCATCCTTTTTAACTTTTACTTCGTAATTATTAACTTTTAACTCACAAGAAGCAAAACTAAGCAAAACTAAACAGGCGCAACACTGTTATGTTGATGCCTTCCCAAGTTCCCATCAAGAAAATTGATAGGGAGATGTGACAACTTGTATCCTAAAAAAGTACATATAGTATCTCTTTCATAACTTTTTCACAAAATTTCATAACTTAAATTCAAAATATTATAACTTTTTCACTACAAAAGTCATAACTTCTTTTCACTGAAAAATATCATAACAAAATCTCAAAGTGTCATAACAAAAATCACAAAATGTTATAACATTATTATCATTCCCAATTTTAAGATGCACATCATAAATTTGCTATTCATAAATTTACTACAAAATGTCATAACATACATCACAAACAATCATAACGTTTATCATTAAAAAAAATCTTAACTTTTTTACAATGTGCACTATTTGAAAAGGTGCACATTGTAAATTTCTCCAAATTGGTGTGAGAGAGAGAGAGAGTTGAAACAAAATTACATATTAGAGTTCTCCGGCAAAGTTACAGCCGAGGTGATCACCACCATGTTTAGTATGCAAAATTCTAAGGTTTTGCTGCTATGCGCGCAAAATATTAATAAAAAATAAATAAATAAACAAAAATTACTAAATCTTCTGCCTCTTCTCTGTTCTCTGCAACTCTGTTGTTGGGGCTTCGTCCAATTGGTTGCATTTTAGATCTTCTGATGGTGTTCTGAAAAGGATTAAACAAAAACAATAAGCCCATCATCCTCTCGTCTTCCCACAATGTTGGCCCAAATTTTGGCCCCTATATGCTTAAAAATGAAATGTTATAACACAGTAGCTTTGCCATTTTCTATCAAAGCAACGATTATATGCAAGCCGTCAAAAGTAAAGACCAGATGGAGAACCAAATATGGTGTGAGTGTGAGAGAGAAAGAGGCTTGATTTCCCAGCAGCAACACAACCAACTTGCCTAAGTACGATGACCAATTATACTCATTTTGACAACTCAAAAATTGAAAATCGTGGCAATTAGAAAACTTGTGTGAGTGTAACAAATTAATTCAATTGTAAATAATAAATGATGACATGATGATTTCAAAATCAAATGAGTGAACTTTTCTTTTCTTTTTTTTTCCTTTCCACTCATTGTTTGGGAAAATGTCAAGCAAAACAAGATCTAAACTCGCACTTCGGTGTTAAATGCCATTGCCATTAGCAGGGAAAATTGGCAGAGAACAGCAGCAATTTCAGCACATCGGGCAGAAATATGATCACAGAAGTATCTAATCACCATATCAAGACACCAGTAAAATGGATTCTCTGCTTACATCTTCAAAGCAGCTATTGCCATAGACAGTGCACCCTCGTAAGTTTGGTTTCCACCAATAAACCCACTCATGTGAACAAAAACACAACCTGGGATTCCAGCCTCTTTTGACAGTTCCTCATCTCTCAAGCCTCGCCATTGAGATGGGAGAGGTTTGCGGCTCTCAAATTTATCAGGAGATATTGCCACTGCCTGCACCCGCCAATGTTTGCTCCTATCATCCTGCAATTTTTATAGACTAAATAAATCAGATGTTTTCTTCGCTAAGTTGGTGACAACACAAAATAAATTAGGAGAATGGATATGAAAGGAAAAAAAAAAAGCATGGGTTGGGAAAGTCACATAATTATATTTTCTTTCTAATGCCTAGATATTAGGGTAGATAGAAGACAACGGAAACTGCAAGATTATATCACCCAAAAAAGAAGAGGAGAACATGAAATGCTCAGGATTGTTAAAAATTGAAGGTATTGGACAAAGTTTTAAAGATATTAGTGAACCTCGTGTTGAAAACCTGACATTTTCTCCAGTTCCAGATTGGCCAAAAAACCAGAGCAATAATATATATGCAAAGGGGGTATATGAATGCCTATGCTCCCCATACTATACTCATTTTTATCATTTAATTTCAGATGAAAGAAAAACTAATCATTTTCTCATAATTGCATGAAGATACAGTCGGATTTTATCTAAGAAGAAGAAATGACATTGGTCTCATCCAAAAAAGAAACATAGAACTGCGCAAGATAGACATGAATACCTGGTAAAGCACATATTTAATGGGTGGATCAATCTCCATCTCCTCCTCCAGCTCATGCAGGTGAAGCTTCCACTGCCAGGCAGATAAAATCAAATAAGGATCCGTAAACTGTCCTGGACATAGTTGACATAAATAGTTTCTGTATACATTAAGCATGCTCATATGACAAGTTTTACATATATAATATTATGTACTATCATTTTCCAAAGTAAGATGCTCTTATTTAGGTTTAGGAAAAAGTTTTTAAAGGGCACCTTCAATACAGTAAGGTGACATGCAAAAACCTAGCAAGTAAATTTCAGAGAAGTTAGAACAGTGGAAAAGTAAGACTTGCAGGCCTATATACAGGCACTGAAGGGGTGACTCCTTTCCAATAAAACATCGAACTGACAAATTAATATCATCTAAGAAAAAGCTGATAAAGAAGGACAAGACTATATCAGGCTGATGGAGACATCATCAGTGACTACTTACAGGGCAAAATCTGCTCAAAACCATAATTTCTCCACTGCGATCAATTCCTTGTCTCTCTGCAAGACACTCCATAACAATCGACCGTGCTGGTAACCACGATCTTGCATGAAACCTAACACTCTAAAGAACAGGAAAGCATTGTTAGACAAATTGGAAAAGACAAAAAGAAAAATATATATAAATGATTATTCATAAAAATTTCCTTGAGTCAACCCTTTAAAATTCAGCTGATGTTACACATAAACTTCACACTGAGATGTAATGAAATTATTATAAATAAATAAAAAATAGTGGTGACTTTCAAGAAAATCTCACATCCAAAAACTCACTGCCAGCCAATGCCATTGCCCGTTGAAAGGCTTCGTTCTCCTGCTCAGGTGACTGATCGGGGTCCATCCAGTCCAAATTCAATCTTCCAACTCTTGCAGACAAATTTGTATTATTCACATATCTTGGAGGCTGGTCTGTGTCAAATTGATTAATTCCATTGTCAATAGCATCAATTGCCTGTAACAAGCAAACAAGAACATAAAAATTACAGATTTACACTAGCACAAAGATTGGGAAAAAAGCATTCACAAACTATCTATCTGGATAAGAATACATCTATCATGAAAAAATAAAAACAAGTGAATAGCACCAGCCAAACAAAGCAGGAAGTGTGTGGAATCTTCCTCCATTTCCTGGACTCCCATAGCAATAGCATTACGTTTGAATGAAAAGTCCAGGGTTCCCATGAGAAATAGACCTAACTTTGACGTTATTTGCAAAATGTGGCTCTCTTATATTTGAACCCGCATTCTCACACTTGATAGCCAAAGCTTGAACTTTTACAATAAGCATGAAGTATGGCATTCTAGTTCCCAAGGAAAAAATATTTGTTTATTCAAATCTTAATATATGAAGCCCTCTCTCTTTTTTTTAACGAACTCCTCCTCCCACCCCCATTCTAAAACCCCTACTTATCATTCTTGAACCAAGAAAGAAAAAGTTAAATAAAATAACTGCATAGGCCACGAACTACGGCTAGGAACAGACATGGACCGATGCTCTGCCCCGCCTGCCATTGATTTATAGGGTTTGAGATTCATTCTAGGCCTGTAAGGCTGGGATGGGCAACTTTTTAGGGCAACTTATAATCGTGGGGGGAAATGGGAAGAATGCTTGAATTGTAGCCAAGCCCGGCCGATAATTTCATAATGCCACACCAATTGTTGAATCAACGCAGTCAACATATTATATTTCTGGAATGACCAAATTCCCTTCTTCAAGTCAAAACACCCACTATTTGTAACCTCTCATCCTATCCTACCATCTTTCCATAACTTTCTCCTTCATTGTTCCATGCCAAAATCACAACAGATAAATTACCATCATCTCTCTCAACAACAGTTCATTGGAAATTATCTCTTCAAAACTCCTTTGTCTCGCCCCACCAAAACCATTTTGCCCATATTTTTGCATTCTTCAAAGATTGAGCAAACCAATTGATTCTGCCCAGATCATTTAGGTATATAAAATTGCATTTACACTATGTTCCTTCTCCGCAGAGTATTTGCTAGAGTTATATGCCAACATATATTAATATAAAAGTAAATATACAACATTCAAGCATTATTCAATAAATCTAACAAAAAAATAGATTGAAGCTAATAATCAAGTAATCATAGAGAAAAAGGGGAAAAGGGGGGGGGGGGAATTAAAAAAACACGACACTTTTGAGAAGGACAAAAAAAAGTGCTAGAGAACTAAGCTCATCTAGCCATGATAGCAACTTCGTCTTGTAGAAATTTAAAGACTGAAAACTCAAAGCATGTAGATCTAAAAAGTGTGCAACATTTGCATGTAATTTTTATATGACTTTAGCAATTAAAAATGAAAAAAAAAAAAATAGGCTTATAAGCAGAATTTGTTGACAATAGAGGCGTAACAGCACTGTAACGACTTTTACAGATGTTACATAACCATAGTGGCTATTACAGCGATGATTTTCAATCACACCACTATGGTGGTTGTAATGAATGTCAGTAAGGTAACCACCCATACAATTATGTAACAGCATTACACAATGATTCAATCCCTTTTTAAAAACAATGGTCACCATTGGAAAGAAGCACAAGAAATATGCAAAATTTGATACCTCCATGAAACTTTTATAAATAGCCAAGTATAATCGATGCACATCTGGATGTCTATCATCAAGCTGAAGCTCCTTTGCAATTAACTCCATCCCATAATGCTAAAGATAAGAAAAACAAATTAGATGACAACTATAACAACAACAATGCTATAATAAATTATTAAAATATATATACATATATATATTAGAAGTTATGCTACACTTTCAAAGTGAACACTATGCATCATTTTTTTGTTGGGCAGAAACATTTTCGACAAACATCTCACATTTTCTAGCATTTGGCTCAACGGAAAACAAGTCCATATATATAGAAAATGTTTTCTATTTTTAAAATAGGAAAACGTTTTCTGGACTAAAATTTACCAATGTCACTACACTACTACACTACCACTGCCACCATAACCTCCACAACCACGTCACCACCGCCACTGCCACCATGGCTGCTGCCACTACCACAACCACCATCTCCTCAGCCCTACCACCACCACCACCACCACCACCCCACCACTAATACAATCATTCACTTCGTTGCTACTGGCTTTCATTCTTGACATACCAACAATCAATCTAACACTCTATTTGGATGGTGTGATTTGATGAGAAATGAGGAGAAAGAGAACTCCTTTCTCATGTTTGGTTTATAAGTTGAGTAAAAAGTGGTGAAAAAATGTGAGAAAGAGAACTGTCTTACTGAACATATTTCATTTCTAACCAAAAGTGGTAAGATTCGGTGAGAAACAAGTTGATTAGTTGTAAAATATTTGTGATACCACGATTGTCCTTTAAAATACAAAGAAAGAAAGAAAGAAAAAAATCTCATTCATATCCCTCTTTCACCTGCCTTTGTTTTTGCACTCATCCAAACATGATAATGAGAAAATACAATCTTTTCTTTTCTTTTCTCTTCTTTTTCTCACTTAGATGAGAGAACACAATCATTTATTTTCTCACATAAAAGAGGCCTTGCTTCTTCATCCGTATTCAGAGTACATTAGTAGTTTCAAGAGGCAATCAAACATAGGAAAACATTTTTTTCCAGGATAAAAATATTCGTAAGCAAACAAACGATAAGTAAATTACACTGACTGCAGAAATTGAAGCGTAAATGGGAATGAGTAATAAAGTGAGCATTTTTACCTTGTAAATAAGGCCAGCACTACTGAGCTTAGTAGTGAAACCATGTCCAAAAACCTCCTCGAAACCTTTCTGGTGATGATCGTAGCGATCTCGACTCGGATCATACACTCCTCCAACATCAAGTACAGCATCAAGCGTTTCCAGCACCTGAAAACAAAAAAATTTATGAATGGTAAAAGAATCTAACTTGATACAAAAACACAACAATTGAATGATAGTGACCTTAGGATCTCTGGTTCGAACGATTTCGGCTGCGGAGAACTTGGTGGTGAGGCGAATCATGAAGCAGCCCAAGGCTTCGTCGCAGTGGAAGCTTCCGTCGTGAGTGCCGACTAGTCGCTTTGGAGTGGGCGAAGCAGAAGCAGCTGAGAAAGAAGGAAGCCTAGGGTTGGCCATGAGGAGAGAGACAAGGAGGGATGGTCTCTGGAAGTTGAATAGCTTCAGATTGTTCTTCAGCCCCTTCGCCACTGAGAACATGCCTCTCTCTCTCTCGCTTGATCTACCGTGGTATTACGAACCCCACCCATAAACCCTCTATTTTGGGTTTTCGACTTAATAAAAAGGACAAATTACACTTTTTCCTTCATAGTTGGTTAGTTTTATATTTGGTTAGTTTCTCACTTTTATCTCAAAAGTATGTTATTTTTACCGCAATGATTTAAAGTATTAATTTTATTATTTTAATATAACACTAATAATCTGGAAAATAAAAACAAATCAAAATTAAAACATCACATTACATCACAATAGATGAGATTTACTATCAACTCATTAAAGCTGGTTTTAAATCTCAAGAATTAAAACTCTGAAACATTTTTCTTATTTTTACTTTGATATTTTATATTTTAAATTTTTCTCAATTTATTTTAAAAATTAATTTTTATTAAAAATTAAATAAAAAATAACATATTAATAATCATGTGATATAAAAATATTTTACAATATATAACTCACATATCTAATATAAATTTAAATTTCAATGTAATAAGAACATCTCCAACGATTCACCTAATTTTTCACTAAATCTGAGTAAAAAAATGACTATTTTCTCAATCTAATACAGAATGCTCCAATGGTTGATTTTCATCAAATCTGCTCCAGAGACAACCGGATGGTCGACTGGTAAGGCAAAATTTTATTTTTTATTTTTTTTGAATTGTTTGAACCTACCTATTTGAACTGTTTGAACCTTTTAGTGGTCGACCGACCGGTCGACCGGTAAAGCAAAAATATTTTTTTTTTTGGATTGTTTGAACCTACCCATTTGAACTGTTTAAACCTTTTAGTGGTCGACCGGTTGGTCAACCGACGGGGCAACCGGCTGGTTGACCGGTTCCTCTCCTCTAACGGTCACAAACAGTAATTTGCTGAAATATATATCCTGTTCTCAGTTTGATGATTTTTCTGTTCAATTCTCAATTTGATACCAGTTTGGTGAAACCGTTGGAGCTTCAAAAAATACCTTTTTCACCAAATTTAAAATTTGATGCCAGGTTTGGTGAACCGTTGGAGATGGTCTAATATATTGTTTTTATTTTATCTGACGGTTATTATTAGGGGTGCAACTTGGGCGGGCTCAACCCGAGCAACCCGAATCTAGCCCGAATTTTTTTAAGGCTTGGACAAGATATTTTTGAATTTGGTACGAGTTTGAGCAAAAATTCAAAAGCCCAAATTAAATTTGGACAGACTTGGACAAAGACGTCAATCAACCCGAGCAATCTGAAACCCGAATTATACATATATAGATATATAAAAATATTAAATATACATATAAATTATTAGTTATTACATGATATTAAAATAATTTAGATTATTAAATCATATTGAATGTATATTATTATATATGTGAATAACATAAAATCTTACTTTTTTTATTTTCACTCATAAATTATAAGGACTACTATAGCGGCATCTGTCTTACATTATATAAATTATTTGTTTTGGTGGTATTAATGATTTTCTATATAAAAAAATATATAAATACAGTCAAATTTTAATAATTTAATAATGTAGCTAAAAAAAAACTAAAATTCATTTACAATTCGAGCAACTCGGGCAATTCAAGTTTAACTCGGGTTGGGCTTTGACAGGCAACTTCGGGTTACAATTTGAGCCTAGCGGGTCTGGACAGGTCTCAACACAACTTGGGCCGGGCTTGGACAACCTCCCAACCTGACCGAACCTGCCCAAGTTGCACCCCTAGTTATTATGGCATTTTTCTGTCTAATTTTGAACGTAAATTAACTTTATAAGTAAATTAGAAAAAATATGAAACATGAAAAACCAAAGTAAAAAAATAAATAAATTTTAAAGATTAAAATGAAAAATTAACCAAATATAAAAGGGATAAAATGTAATTTACCCGAATAAAAATAAGTAAATTACATTCAAGGTTGAAAACGAGCCGTGTGATTGAAAGTTGGATAATTTAGTGGATTTAAAATTATATTTAAATTTGATTTATTTATATAATATAGTTGATTTTAAACCATCTTTTAATGAGTCAAACACAAATTGAACTTGAGAATTATTTTTATAGTGTAATAAATTTATCTTTTTTTTATTCAAATGAAAAGGATAACAAAGTAGCAGAGTTTCAGAACAAACAAATAGACAAATAGTGGGCATCAAGCCCTGTGAGAATTAGGAATTAGCAGAAACCATGTTTGCAATGAGAAAAGAGAAGATAGAACTAGGAGGGTCATCAAGGCATACCAAATGCTCCGATTGGTTTACTCCAATATTGGCAAGTGCATCAGCATATTGATTTGCTTCTCTAGGGGTATATTGGATTCTGCACTTGCATCTCTTCAGCATGAAATTGGCATCCTCTATTAAGCTTTGTAAGGGGATATTCTTTCAACTCCATCCTGAATCTGTTGCATTACAATCTGGGAATCTGTCTCCATCTTTATGTTTGTCATATCTTTTTGCATGATAATGGTGAGGCCTCTGTAAATTTCTCAAAGTTCTGCTTCCAAGCTTGTGTAGTTTCCTAAGTACCCATGGTAGCTCCACAACCAGGTGTATGTGTCATTCCTCAGTAAGCCTCCATACCTAGACTAACCTGAGTCACCTTTAGAGCATCTATTTGTGTTCAGTTTTAATTTTCCTGCAAAATGAGCAAACTAATTAATTAGTCTTGGTTCAGAGTAAGTAGGGTGGAGGGGGTTTTGAAAAGCTTCTTAGATTTCTTTGGCCTGTTGGAAGATTTTAGCTATACTGACATGGGCAGGTTGAGTTTGATTGTTGAAAACCTCCTTATTCCTATCTTTCCAGATATTCCAAATGGTTTAGATTGCTGGCCATGGGAGATCAGCTATCATGTCTTTACATTGGAGGTTAGACTTTAACCATTCAGGTAATGTTTTACTGTCTACTGTTATCCACCAATAAAGGTATTTCAGTTGGAGCCAGATGGCTTTTACTTTGGTACAACCTCTAAGCAGATGTGGCATGTCCTCTGTATGGGTTTGACATCTGTAACAGGTATCAAAATTAGTGAGTTTTCTTATCAGTCGCATCTGATTGGTAAGGAGCCTACCATGCATGGCCAACCTGGGGAAAGTTTTAAGCTTGTGAGAAGCTTTCATTTTCCATATCCTTGGCCAGTCCAGTCCATCTTCCTCCTGTTTAGTAAGAGCATGGTAGGCTGCTGAGGTAGAGAAATTGTCATTTGTAGTTCCTGGCCATTTATCAAATCAAGTAATAAATCGTTCAAATTTGACTGGAAATTTAACTAATTTAAAATTGTGTTTATATTTGACTTATTTACATAATAAAGTCAATCTCAAATGAGTTTTTAACATATCAAATACAAACTTAAATAATTTGATTATTCTAACACCTTTAGGCTCCATTTGTCTTCAGAGGTAGAATTGAAGAAATTAATAGTGAGTGAATTGTTAGTGAGGGAATTGATAGTGAGGGAATTAAGTAAAATTATATTTGTTTTTATGATAGTTATTTAGTATAGGGATTGTTAAATTATTTTTATATAAAATAATAAAACAAATAAAAAATACAAAAACATTAAACATTAATGTTAAAAAAAAATGCCCAACATGTAAAAAATTAAAAAAATAAATAAATAAATTTCCAAAAATAAAAAATAAAAAAAATAAAACAATGAATTTTACTTAATAAAAAATACAAAAAATTTCAACATTAATGTTAAAAAAAAATGCCCAACATATAAAAAAATAAAAATAAATAATTTTTTTTTAATTTGGCGGACTATTTTTTTAATACGACATCACCTCCACCTCCACCTCCACCTCCTTCATTCCAATCCCCCTTCTAAGGCCCAACCTAATCCCCTCCTCCATTTCAATCTCTTCTCCAAATTTACAAACATAACATTAAATGAACTCCACCTCTATCATAATCTCATCCCTCCCTCTATACCCAAAAGAAATGGGGCCTTACACTCAACTATAGTTCATATCTATGCATACTCTATTTTATAAGCAGTAAAAAAAACTTGCAAAAAATCAATTTGAACCATATTACTAAGATCTCTTTTGGAAAGTTAAAAAAAAAAAATCAGATAATTGACTTATTGCTTATTTGAATTATATTATATCTCTATTTTTTTACACGTCTTTTCATAATAAATAAAAAAAATCAAATTTTTTAATACTTCTCAAAACAAACCTTCTTTTATTTTTTAAAATAGATAACAATTATAAATTCAAATTTAAACTATTTATTTTATAAAATAAAATATGTTTTATTCATCAATATGGATTAAAAGTTATTTTGAGAAGATGGTAAAAAGTGACTTTTTGGCTTTTAACTAAGTTTTTGGCTTTTTTAGACAAATAATTTGGGAAGTTGGTAAAAAGTTACTTTTGATTTTTTTGATTAATATTTGTTTATGATGTCAAATTACAATAAAATAACCAAACTACCCCCATTCAATTTAAAATATTTACAACTTCACTCATGTAGCATATTTTGACTCATGAAGGGTAAAATTGTAATTTCACTTATAGCTAAAAACCAACTTTCCAAATAAAAAAAAATGCAAAAAAGCCAACTTTTGGCTTTTGCTACAAACTAAAAAAAGTGACTAAAAGTCAAGTTCCCAAAACACCCCTAAGTTAATTTTCATAATTAAAATCTTCATTTCCTTTTTTTAAAAAAATAAGAAATTAATTTGCAAAAATAAATAAAAAAATGTTTTTATAAATTAAGCCTACTCTCAAACCAAATAAAATATAAAGGAATATTGTTGTGAGCATCTTCTACAAAGATGAATGATCACATTTATTACTATTTTGGTAATTCAAATAATATTTCTACTATTTGGCTTTGTTCTAAGCAAAAAACCCAAAAAACAAAAGTGATGCGAAAAGAAAAGAGAGAAAGGGTGAGGGCCATATTAAAATAAAATTCTTAAAAAACTAAACAAGAGTTTTTTCTTTTATCAAATTTGAATAAAAATTTAATGAAAAATTTGACCTAATATAATGTATTTCAATAATTTTCATTAATTATGTCGATCGTCCGATAAAGAGTAAATTTTTATCAAATTTATTTTACAATCCATTTCTTCGAGAGATTATCCACTCAGTGTCACCCGTAAAATTTGATAAAATATTAAATGTTCTCTTAAAATATATTCAGTGTGTTTGGTTTGAGTTTTTTAGATAAAATTTTTTGAAAATTGAGTTTTTTAATTTTCATATTCTTTTGTTTTTAGTAAATATTTTTTAAATTTTAAACATTTTTTTTACTTTTTTAGATGCACCTTGGTTAGATGTATCTAAAAAGTAAAAAATTTGTGAAAAAATATTTTAAAAAATTAATATATACATAAAAATACAAAAAATATACTAAATTTTTGTTTTTTTTTTGTATTTTTGGTATTTAGTGAATTTAAAAAAAATTACAATTTTTTTACTTTTTAAATGTATTTATGTTAGGTGTCTCTAAAAAGTAAAAAAATTATTTAAAATATTAAAAAAATTCAATAAAAACAAAAAAATACGAAAAATAAGAACGTAAAATTTTTTAAAATATATTTTCTGAAAAATGAAAATAAACAAGCTGATTACTCACTCCATTTGATATCAATGATAAAATAATTGAAGAACTGTTTTTATTAATTTTTTATCAAATTAAAATTTGATGAAAACGTACGTATTTATATTTTTCATTTTTTTTTAATTAAAACGAAGTGACGAGGACAAGTACAAATCCCATATCCCTTCACCATCCCAAGCTCAAAGCAATCCTATCCCATGCTCTCTGAAAAATCAAAAGTTGACAATGGCAACCACTGTGAATCCCACCTTGATCTGTTATCGAAACCCTAATTATCCATTCCTACTCAGAGATAATCTCTCCTTCTCATCATCACCGACCCTCACGAAATTCTTTAGCAAGCCCTCGTCGTTGTCAATTTCTCCCCCAACTCTAATAACTGTGAAATGCTCCAACAATTCGGAACAGGGACAATCGGACGGTGTTGGTGGTGATGGTGGTCTGAAGGAGGTGTTGTCAGGAATGGTGGACGAGCGAGTGGAGGAACTGTTGAACAGAGAAGAGAACAGGGTTTTGCTTGATGGGTTAGAGAAAGCGACCCAGAGAGTAGAAATTGCGAAGAGAGAGCTTGCAGAGATCCAAAAACAGGAAATTGAAGCGAAGCAGTTGAGGGAGTACGTCAACCAGCTCGAATCCAGAACTTCTGAGGTCTCTCCTCTATCTTCCTGTTCCTCCCCACGTTTGGGAAATTCTATTTTCGCACCTCTATAATATTATATCAAAATACACCTAAAGTAAAGTAAAATGACTATAATAAATATCAAAATATATTTTTAAGATTATATTTTAATTTTCTCTATGCATATATTTTTTTTAAATCCTAATTTAAAATGTAAAGGATGATTAATTTTGTTCTTGTGTCAAGAATCAAAAATTATACACAGCAGTTAAAATCTAGATTGTTGTTTTCTTTCTATCACATCAAAAATCTCTTTCTTGTTTTTCTTCACCTACTCTGTGTAGTGGTTACAACAACTTTCATTTTTTTCTCTTCTCACTTTTTGTTTTGGTAAACCAAGTTATCATTCTAAAACACTCTGATCTTCGAATGAGGGTTCATCAAGACATTGCAGTGATGATTGACACCAAAAACATAGTATTTATACTGCTTACAAATACTACGCAACGATCATTCACAATTCTTCTAGTATAAGAGTGATTTTAAACTACATAGATTTCAATTTAGGAATTTAGTAGCATTAAAGCAACACGGAATAGAGAATGGAGGAAATTAAGATGAAAAGAATAAGGAGGCTTTCATAAGAATGGAGGGATTTCATTGTTTCTTCAATGGGTCATTTTCATACATTAGGTGTGTAGAAGAGGGCTTTCAACCAAATGGGTAAAGGTGCGTGGAAAGAGGGTTTAGGTGGGGTGTACAAGTATATGAGTTAGGATATAATTGGAACATAAAATGTATGGAACGAGAAGAATAATCAATAACCAAATTAATAAGTGTGTGCACTGAGAAATGATGTGTATTGAGATAAATAGGTGTATGGAAATAGAATTTTTTCCCACTTGATACGTGTGCAATTGAGGTAAGTAAGAATAAAAACAAATAATACAGAAATTAGTATCATAATATGTATATTGTCTAAGTGGTAAGAGTGTTATTAATAAAATCAAAGGTTTGGGTTCAAACTTTGCTCATGCCTTCAAATCATAATTTTTTATTTTTAGGACACAGCCTACCAAAGACTTGGATACCAAATATATATACTAGTGTTGATGCATTTGTAATATTATATTAAATTTTTGGATAGTTTGATGGTTGAAGAAAATTGATTAGCTGTTTTGGTGATTTTTGATGAGGGTCCTACTAACAAGGCACAAGAAAAAGACCAAAAAAAAGTGCACTTTTTATTGATTTCATAATTTCACCCTTTTTTAAACTATAATATTTTTTACACAAATCTCAAACAATGCCGACGGGGCACTTATTAGCATTTGACTTTGATGAATGAAAAAAATCGTTTTACAGCTTTTGACTGTGGTGATAATTGAATGTGAATGATATTTTTGAAAAAATAAAAAGCGTGACAATGTTCGCACTAAATTAGGTGTATGGTTTATATAGTAAAATAGTTGTATATGTTTGTTTTGACATACATGTATACCTTTCTTTTTGTGAGATGTACTCTTTCTTGTGGCAACATTGTTGATTGAATATATGCTTGAACTAGTTCCTGTCTCTTTTAGTGCCAATACATTACTGTGATACTGCTAGCTATTCAACTACCAGAACTATGTGAACTTTGATGGCATAAAATTTTGAATCCCAAACTTGTCATTCTGCGAGAGAAACTTGCAATCATTTTACCCAAAAGAGAAACGGATGAAAAAGAAAAACATGAAACAATGCTCAATTTCCATTCCTTGTTCAATTGAAATGTATTTTATGGAGTTGAGCTTGTTCGCCGACTTTGAATTTATATTCATAAGCCAACTTCCTAAACTAATAGTACTCTGCTTCAGAGTTAAATTAAGTAACAAAAATAAAGAGAAAAAATATGCAACTTGGAGCAAATCTAAATATACAGTTTACATCCTTCTTCGGAGAGGTCACCTCCTCGGAGAGGTCCCCTCCTCGGAGAAGTCACCTCCTCGGAGATGTCACCTCCTCGGAGAGGTCACCTCCTCGGACAAGGTGGTTAGAGAGAATATCCCCCATGTGCCTTGCACATGGGCTCCATCCTACATCATGAGGTGCCTATAAATAGCACCCACCCATAGCTTTACAAGGGAGGGATTTTGGAGATTTTTTAACTCTTGGGAAAGAACTAATTTCCCTTCTCCATTATCAACCTTGAGAGTGAAAGTGGGAGATCAATGGGAGAGCCTTGCCATTATTCTATTCTCTAGCCATTTTGCCTTCTTCTTCACCCAATCTCTTATCTCCATCATCTCCTTTATTGTTGTGTTCCTAAGTTGAGATTATTGAAGAATCTAAGCTTCTCATCATATTCTAGAGAATTCGATCTTCGAATTTTCCAACTCCTTTCTTGAACCCTCTCCTACACTTTCTATCACATCAAAAATCTCTTTCTTGTTTTTCTTCACCTATTCTGTGTAGTGGTTACAACAACTTTTATTTTTTTCTCTTTTCACTTTTTGTTTTGGTAAACCAAGTTATCATACTAAAACACTCTGATCTTCGAATGAGGGTTCATCAAGACATTGCAGTGATGATTGACACCAAAAACATAGTATTTATACTGCTTACAAATACTACGCAACAATCATTCACAATTCTTCTAGTATAAGAGTGATTTTAAACTACATAGATTTCAATTTAGGAATTTAGTAGCATTAAAGCAACACAGAATACAGAATGGAGGAAATTAAGATGAAAAGAATAAGGAGGCTTTCATAAGAATGGAGGGATTTCATTGTTTCTTCAATGGGTCATTTTCATACATCAGGTGCGTAGAAGAGGGCTTTCAACTGAATGGGTAAAAAGGTGTGTGGAAAGAGGGTTTAGGTGGGGTGTACAAGGATATGAGTTAGGATATAATTGGAACATAAAATGTATGGAACGAGAAGAATAATCAATAACTAAATTAATAAGTGTGTGCACTGAGAAATGATGTGTATTGAGATAAATAGGTGTGTGGAAATAGAATTTTTTCCCACTTGATACGTGTGCAATTGAGGTAAGTAAGAATAACAACAAATAATACAAAAATTAGTATCATAATATGTATATTGTCTGAGCGGTAAGAGTGTTATTAATAAAATCAAAGGTTTGGGTTCAAACTTTGCTCATGCCTTCAAATCATAATTTTTTATTTTTAGGACAGAGCCTACCAAAGACTTGGATACCAAATTCAGTGCTGACATATATAATCTATCTATCTATCTATACTATTATAAAGTGAACACCCCTTATGGTGTCTTGAAGCCTTTGTTTTATGCTGCCACGTGTCTATCTTTTTATTTGAAATAAAAAAAAAAATTAGATAAATAAGAGGAGGGGATTTGAACCTTAGACTTATTTCAAAGGAATAAGACTCTTACCACTTTACTAGCACACAATATATGATAAATGTTTTATTTTATTTTTATTTATTTGAACTGCACACGCATCGCGTGTGACAACCGCTAGTAGTATAGATATATATACTAGTGTTGATGCATTTGTAATATTATATTAAATTTTTGGATAGTTTGATGGTTGAAGAAAATTGATTAACTGTTTTGGTGATTTTTGATGAGGGTCCTACTAACAAGGCACAAGAAAAAGACCAAAAAAAAGTGCACTTTTTATTGATTTCATAATTTCACCCTTTTTTAAACTATAATATTTTTTACACAAATCTCAAACAATGCCGACGGGGCACTTATTAGCATTTGACTTTGATGAATGAAAAAAATCGTTTTACAGCTTTTGACTGTGGTGATAATTGAATGTGAATGATATTTTTGAAAAAATAAAAAGTGTGACAATGTTCGCACTAAATTAGGTGTATGGTTTATATAGTAAAATAGTTGTATATGTTTGTTTTGACACACATGTATACCTTTCTTTTTGTGAGATGTACTCTTTCTTGTGGCAACATTGTTGATTGAATATATGCTTGAACTAGTTCCTGTCTCTTTCAGTGCCAATACATTACTGTGATACTGCTAGCTATTCAACTACCAGAACTATGTGAACTTTGATGGCATGAAATTTTGAATCCCAAACTTGTCATTCTGCGAGAGAAACTTGCAATCATTTTACCCAAAAGAGAAACAGATGAAAGAGAAAAACATGAAACAATGCTCAATTTCCATTCCTTGTTCAATTGAAATGTATTTTATGGAGTTGAGCTTGTTCGCCGACTTTGAATTTATATTCATAAGCCAACTTCCTAAACTAATAGTACTCTGCTTCAGAGTTAAATTAAGTAACAAAAATAAAGAGAAAAAATATGCAACTTGGATCAAAGAGTCTAAATATACAGTTTACAAATTGAGATTTGCTTTGTAGAACCAACTAAATTACAAAAAGAAGTTGCATATGTCAAATACGATGGCACTCGTTGAACAATGGAACCACTTATATTATTCAAGTAGTAGTTTGATTTGCTTCATGTACAGCTTACAAAAGTGTTGATCTAGAGATTTTGACGGATTGTATAATGCATATGTCAAATACAATGGCACTCGTTGAACAATGGAACCACTTAACATTATTCAAGTACTAGTTTGATTTGCTTCATGTACAGCTTACAAAGGTGTTGATCTAGAGATTTTGACGAATTGTATAATGCATATGTATTGAAGATTGCAGAATGTGAGAAGGAAATATTAGAAGCAAGGGCAATGGTGGAAGAAGCACAGCGCTCTCTAAACATTGATGGAGATGATTATGCTATTATTGAGGAGGTAGAAACTGAAGAAATCGATAGAAATGAAGAGAGGTTGGAGTCTATAAAAGCTGCTTCTATTTCTGCCTTAGTTGGCAGTCTTGCAGGGCTCCCCATTTTCTTCACTCAAGTAACCGACATTTCTCAGCTAATTCTCCCTTTAGCAACCACCTTCATCAGCTGTGCTCTATTTGGAGTAACTTTTCGATATGCAGTAAGAAGAGACTTGGACAATTTTCAGCTAAAGACAGGGACTTGTGCAGCCTTTGCCTTTGTAAAAGGTATAATAATCTATCTTACTTTGGTTCACCAAGATTAGGGCCTGTTTGGTTGTCTTCCCATTTTCTGTTTCCCCAAAACATAACTTGTTTGGTGAACTATTTTCAAAAACTGTTTTTGCATGAAAATAGAAACAATGGGTATTTTCAGAGTTTTCATCGAGAAATATACAAATTGAATTTGCATTTTGCTATGCAGGTGTTGGTACAGTAGATGGTGGACCACCTTTGGAATTGGAAATTGGGAGCTTCTTGTCACATGCTCTTATTGGTGCAGCTTATATATCTGAGAATCTTTTAATCTTTTTATTCGCTGCGGTCGCTCTGGATTTCTGTTACAAGATGAGGGTATTAAGTCCATTTCCTATTAAAAAATCGGCCTCATAGACTATTAGTAGGTGAAGGGCTATTTTTTGACAACACAGAAAATTGCTTTCTTTTGGTGGATGTACAATTTCTTGGTCACCTGGTTTTAATACCCATCACTTGAATTTCAGACGTTGTAAATGAAGTAACCAAAATCTTTCAAGCAATTAGTTAAGAAAATTGTTTTATTCACTGAATTTTTTCACACTGCTTTGTATTACTAATTGTACTGACGATTGATTCTTTGTTTGGAAATAGTTAACAAAGGAAACAAGTGAAGGAGGGTAATATTTTTTCGCCATGTAATTGGTGATATGAAATGGTGAAAGTGTATAAACTATATTTCATTGCTCATCTTCAACACCTATTATTAATGGATATACAACAATCATACAACATCATAGAAAACAAGTGACAAGAAAAATATAGTAACATATGACGGTTAGACCCATTACAGAGCAGTTATAACTTGAATCTAAATCGGAATGCAAACCTGTGCCACCCCGAAAGAAAAAATATATATAAATATATTCGTCAAACAATACATCTTTATCCAAGTATTGAATTACGTAGACATCCAATCGAATCTTGAGAATGCCTGCTACTTTCAGAATAATTCTAGGAGTCCTGAAAATAAAAACATGAACATGTCATATTTCATGAACTATATAGAATTAACAAAAAATGCACAATATAAAAGCTAACCTTAAACTAAGATGAAAAAGAGTTAATCTAAACGGTTATCAGCGTCTAACTGAAGGGTGATATTTGAGACACCAAGAACTTAATAAGGCCCTACTATTGTAAACTTAGACCTGATAATCATCTTGCCCGCTAGGTGATGACCAATAACTCAACCTACTATGTTCACTCATGCTGAACTTCGTCTTTCTTGATGTAGCGAAAGCTTTCTCGAGGTCCAACTGTGACAAAGGCCTTGGTTCCTGTAAAAGAATACAAACAAAAGACCATGTTTAGGATATACATATACCTAGTTTTCCATTGGATTCATAGTTCAACTTATAAAAATACACATCAAGTCAATTAGTGAAATCTTTTGAGTATTAAGCAACTACAATCATATAAAGTTCGCAACATTGCAACTTGTTTGCCAACATTGTCCATCTGGTTGCGCCAATCCAGGAAAAACCACGGGTCAAAAAAGTGATTCCCATCAAAATTTGGGTCAAAATTCAATCCAAACTGGCAGCTTTCTTGTTAAACTCCTCCAACTCAAAAGCCAGACTCCAATAACATTCCTGTCTAGAGTTTAGGCTTGGGTAGGATTATGGACATGGGCTTGGCTAATGATGCACGCCCCTCTAACGTCAGCCCTAGCAAAATGGCCCATAAATCCAATCATTTGTTTTTTATCACCTAATAGTTCATGCTCTTTAAAGCTAGCAAGGGGTTCAAAAGTATTTTACGTGTTGATTGAGAAAAGGAACCAAAAAACATAGAAAAAAAAATTCAAGACAAACTTTAGAACTTCAGGAGCAATGACAAAACAAAACTGGGACAACCGATATGGACACGTTGGAGCAACAATTTTAAAAATATCAAAATATCAGAACATGAAGCAATAGATACACAAGAACTGATATATACCATACATATATAAATGATTTTTTTTTTTTTAGAAACATTTTTACCTTACAAATACATTTATACTTTATTACATCAAAATAGTAAGAAATCATTTCCCAGACATTCTATAAATTGGAGGAAATCATCAAAAAAGTCCTATTATGTATTTCATTAAGCTCTCTGTTCATTAAACAATTGGAATTTTTAGGCTATAGTATTTCTAAAATTTAAAAACTTGAAGTAGGAAATTAATAGGTATAAATACATATTACTTTCATTTCAATTATTGGCCCAAGTTATTTTCTTCAAACTTGTAATGCGTCTAAGCAATAGTCATATTTGTCTCCTAAGTGTTTGAAGTGTGTTTGATTGTAAAATAACTAAGAAATAATATGACAACTTTGGACGAGTGTCTGACATGTGTCCAATGTCGGTGTCCGACAGACCGAACATCGACGTCTCCATAAAGATCTGTTCACACTTCAACCTTCCATTAATTTGTCCATAACAGATGTCCTCCCACTAAACAAAACAATAACACATCAAAAGAATAATTAAAGAATATAGGCTAAGATGAAGACTTACAAGAGGCCGTTTCCCACTCTTTTCCTCTTGTAAGAAATCCCTCAGAGGAAAATAGGCCGCCTGCTTGCAAAGCTCAAGCAAATCTGAACCAGTGTGCCCCTCACACAAGCTAGCAATGTGGTTGAAGTGAATATTATCATCTAATCTCTCACCCTTTAAAATCACCTTCAATATCTTCTCTCTATCACCAAGATCAGGTTTTCCAATCTCAAATACCTGAGGTAGACGCCTAAGTATTGCCTCATCAAGATCAGCTGGCCGATTGGTTGCAGCAAGGACCATAACTCGAGCATTCTCTGGATAAAAATATGAATTAAGTAGTCAAATTCCATCACAAAACTGCCATATTCAAGATAAAGTTATTATTTAACAGGAACCTGCCCAACAAACAAATCAAAAAACTACCTAATGCTCAGTTTAGTCATCATGAACACTTTTCTAACAAATAAATCAGGCTGAAACAACTCCCTCTAATATTTCGATCTGCCTTCTCAGCAAACAAACAAAATAAGCAAATTTGTCACGCATCGATGCATCATAAATAAATATATGAACAGCTTTAGGACAAGATCAACAGCACTTAAAAATTATATATCATCAGCCTACCCCAGAAAAGCATAAGGCCTTCCTATTTAAGAGTCCTATATCTAAATGTCCAAAGACCAACAATAAATAAATAAACAAAAAACTGCCAATATAGGTATTTCTTAAGGAAAATAGTCAGTTTGATAGGAAAAGAATGAAACACAAGAATATTCTCCAGTGAAAAGATCTAGGCCAAATATCAACGCAAAAACACCTTGTCAGTTTGATAGAATTCCATAAAATAATTTATCGCATTATATTTTAAAAAATAATGCACAGTTGCATAAATGATATGTTGATTACTACAATAACGAGGCAATCATGATGTATAATAAATTAATAATACAACAAAATAAACAAATAAAATATTTATATGAGCATAAACCAAAAGTACATGCAAATCATTATGGTTTTACTTATGATATTTGAACCTAATACATATAAAAATTGATAATTCATCCAGAGAAGAATACTCACGATCTGTGGTAAAACCATCCCACAAAGCCATGAATTCAGTTTTCATGTTTGTCAACACTTCGTTATCTGTCGCACGGCGTTGTCCCAAAAAACTGTCAACCTCATCAATGAAGATGATTGCAGGCTGGAGCTTATTGGCCAAGGTGAACACAGCTGACACTGCAACAAGTTGATACATCAGATGGTCTAGAATGTTGATAAATCTAACTTACAGGAAGAAACAAAAGTTTAAATTAAGTGTACATACATGGGATATGATTGGCTCTGTTAGAATAGTCGTCTTTTATATTATATTAGTGAGGATACTATTGTCATATTATAGTTTTTAATATAAGTATCTGCTAAGGTGGAGGGTTTGTTACACAACCTGATACCTATTCATTTAATTCTCTTTTCTGATCTCCTCTCTCTTTCCTTCTCCACTCACTCTAACCCTAATTTCTCATTTTCTACACTCCAACTAGCTCCATATACATCAGATTACAATTGGGTATACAAGAAATGCAAGGATTGGAAATTTTCCCTTACAAAAAGGTCTACACTATCAACTAAACTTAAACTGTAATTATATGCTATGTTTGTCAGTACTATCATCACTACATATGAGTGCTTAAAGTTCAGAAACTGTTATCAACTTTATTTCTTGTTCATTCCAATGCAGTCAAATGCCTACGTGGGCAGTAGGGAAAAAATCTAGGCTGATGATAGAAAAACACAAAGGAAATCCAATAACTAAGTAGTGAGTCCGCTTATGATGGTAGTTGTATTAGGCCATAGTATGAAATACCCTTAACTAGGTAACTGAAATTCCTAAATCAAACTAACAGATCTCTTAAGAGCTTGATGCAATCAAAGATTTCAGTAAAACCCCACTCCAATTTGCTACCAACAAGCAATCCCTTGTAGGGGGTAGCCGCCATCAGCCCAACACCAATCAACACAATTATAAAAAATCTCTTTGCCATCTCCAAAATTTAGTCACCATATTCAACAGAACTATTGAAGCCCCAGTAATAATTGTTACTTATATCAAGTCCAGTATTATTGAGGCTTAGCGGATATTGATAATCAAAGACTCCCAATTTCGAATTTTTACTACATTGCCACAACATTTGTTGATTCACTTATTGGAAGTCAAATATTTTCACCCTGGTCTAAAGATTTTAATACACACGAAATAAATTCTATGAATGCTATGAATTCATTGAAAGATTCTCCCTTTAGTCAAATTGAACAGCCTATAAATGCCTTAAGTCACATCACAGACTGTGAACAAACAATGATGCATACCTAGTTTCTGAGCATCACCAAACCATTTACTCATCAAATTGGAAACCCTAACATTGATGAACACAGCACCAGACTCCTTCGCAATGGCCTTGGCAAGCATGGTCTTGCCAGTCCCGGGAGGGCCGTACAACAACACACCCTTTTGGGGACCAAGAAGCTTTCCATAGGCAAACAATTGCGGCCTACGCAAGGGAAGAATCACCAATTCGAACAACGACTGCTTAATGTTCTCCAATCCCCCAATAGAATCGAATTCCACATCGATGTGGTCCGGATTCACGACATCGCATGCTATCACATCCTATTGACCAAAAAATATAAGTTGAAACAAATTGTAAAAATGAGAGAAATTGAAGGAAAATGAAAAAGGAGATATTGAAGAATTGCCTCGTAAGGAGTGGTGTGAATGAGAGGACGACCTAATCGCTTGGAGAGTTGTCTCTTTTGTTCGAGTGCTTTTTTGGAGGCGTCACGATTGGTGTTGTCTAGGCGTCGAAGTCCTGCGAACAAAACTAAACAGCTTAGTGCGGCGCTGGCTGCGTAGAATAAGAGTTCTTGCAATATCTTCTTCCTCATGTCTGTACTGTCTCCCATGGCCGCGAATTAGGGTTTCAACATTCAAACCAATAGGAAGGTGTGACCGACGCAGAGAGAGAGAGAGAAAGAGCAGTTGCGTGTGTGTGTCAGCCGAAAGAACCCGAATGGCATTTGTATGGGCATCAGGATCCCTCCTTAATTTCTATCCTTCTAACTTCTTCCATGTTGGGTGAAAAGTGGGTTTAATTTTGATAATTGAAATCGATCACATTTATACAAATACAATACATGAAGTAAAAGAGAACGACTGTGAGAGTTTTAATATCTCAATTTAAAATTTTTAAATATTTTATTAAAAAAATTAGTATTTATTAATTTGGTTAAAAAAATTTTATCGACATTTATTAATTTTTTTCAATCAATATGTCTTTTTACATATCTGTATTTATTAATTTGGTCAAAATTTTCTGATCAGCATTTAAAATTTCCTCATACACTATGGTAAGTGATAAGATTGTTAAATTATTTTTATAAAAAATCTTAAAAAACATAATTTATATATTAAAAAAAATCTAAAATAAATATAAATATCTATAACTATCCCGTGCATAGCACAGGTGATAGGCTAGTTTTAAGATTAGTTGAATATGTCATATTTATAAAAAAATAAATTAATTAAATATTAAAAAGTATACAAACTATTTTTTTAAAAAAATTTAATAAATAATTTTTAAAACACATATTTTCTGTGACTTACAATTTTAGAAAATTCAGATGACTTACAATTTTTTATTATTTTTTTTATATTTATGAAGGAAAATGATTGGTGGCCCTAAAAAATTTGCCCCTAATGCCCCTAATTTCCATTTTTAGAAACTGTTTTCTTTTTTTCTTTCTTTTTTCCTTTTTTTTTTTTTTTTTTTTACCTAAAGTGGAAATTTCGGGGCATTCGAGCCCCGAAATTCGGGCCCTCAAGCAGCGCCGATTTATGAAATCCCTATAGAAGCTCTCCATTAATTGGACAATAGTAACATACGAAAATAATATTTTTAATTTGTTATAAATTCAATTAAGACTGATTTTCTTATTATATTATTGTGAGTGAATTATGAATTTTCAATTATAAATTTCTAATATTTCTTTGATAACCATGTAAATTGTTTGCCTTTTGGTCAATTTTTTTTTTTTTAATTTTAGGAAATATAAATTGCATTTATAAAGGAACAAAACAAAGAGTTAAAACATACAAGGAGTTCATGGACATAAAAGAAAAATGCCTAAGAACCCAGTGGGGGTCACTGGGGGTCGTGCGTGTAGACCCGTGATTGGCCTAAAAAAAAAATTATTTTTTTTTTTCAGCGAATGGCAGTGCACCATGTCACTGGGGGTCGGAAGCAGCGCTGGGACATAAATTAGGAGAGTATCGGCTAAAAAATAAAAGAAATAAGCACACTGATGACCCCAGTTACCCAAAATGAAGACACCAAGGACCACAATTGAAAAATGCATGGAGCTCCTCCAAGAAAACTAAAAATCATAAAATGGAGCACAAAATAAAAGCAAATCAAACCAAACCTTAAGTCCTATCAAATGTGATTGGTTACATGAATCCTTCTTCTCCATGTGGCCTTATCAAAGGCCATTTCGTTAGTTAAATTAAATAGATCCATATCTTTATTTACAACGCTAACCAACGCTAATCTAGGCCTACCCTGTCCCCTAACACTTTCATCTACCGTTACAGCATCGTATCTCTTTCACTATGGCCTCTGTTGGTCTCCGTTGAATATGACCAAACCATCTTAATCGATTCTCTCTCAACTTATTTTCTATCAGTGCTACTCCTACTCATTCCCGAATACACTCATTCCTAATTCTATCTTGTCTAGTCTTGCCACACATTTACCTTAGCATTCTCATCTCACCCGCACTCATCTTATTTACATGTTGTTTCTTTGTTGCCCAACGCTCCGTCCCATACAATATCACTGGTCTAATAGCCGTTCTATAGAAATTACCTTTAAGTCTAGTGGGTATTCGTTTAGCGCAGAGTACTCCAGATGCACTTCTCCACTTACACCATCCCGCCTTAATCCTATAGGCCACATCCGCATCAACCTCCCCCGTTGTTGTGATAATCGACCCTAAATAACGAAAATGTTCACTCTTAGACAGTTCTTGGTTCTCAATTTTCACTTCTCCTCAGCTTTGATTATTACTGTTACTAATTTTACACTCCATGTACTCTGTCTTAGTTCTGCTTATCCGGAATCCTTTAGATTCAAGAGCTTTTCTCCAAATCTCCAACTTTGTATTAACTCCTTCTCTAATCTCATCCACTAGAACTATATTGTCTGCAAAAAGCATACACCATGGCACGTCATCCTGGATATTCCTCGTCAACTCATCCATAACTAAAGCAAAAAGATAAGGACTTAAGGTAGATCAGGACTTAAGGTACATTCTTGGTGTAACCCTACAGTGATAGGAAATTCATTTGTCTCTCCAGCAGATGATCTAATAGTGGTCACCACGTTTTCATACATGTCCCTAATCACATCAATGTAACCTTTTGTCACCTCTTTCTTCACTAACACCCACTATATTATATCCCGAGGCACTCTATCATATGCTTTCTCAAGGTCGATAAATACCATATGAATGTCTCTTTTCTTTTCTCTATACTTTTCTATTACTCTCTTCAAAAGATAGATCGCGTCCATTGTTGACCTGCCAGGCATAAACCCAAATTGATTCTCTGATACCTCTGTTATATCTCGTAATCGGCATTCTATCACCCTCTCCCACACTTTCATTATATGACACATTATCTTGATTCCTCTATAGTTGTTGTAATTCTGGACATCTCCTTTATTCTTATAGATTGGCACTAAAATACTCTTCATCCATTCATCTGACATGTTCCTAGTCAACAAAATTTTGCTAAACAACCTAGTCAACCAAGCAACCCCCTTTTTATCCAAATACTTCCAAGCTTCAATAGAGATATCATCTGGTCCTAAAACCTTATTTGATTTCATCTTTTTAAGTGCAATCTCCACTTCAAAGTTCTTAATCCTGCGATAGAATCTATAGTCTTGGTTTATCGTATTACTGGCTATTTCTTCCTCTATTGCCGTACCTCCATGTTCCTCATTTAATAGTTTCTCAAAATAGTTCTTCCATCTTTCTTTAATCTCTTCATCCCTCACCAATACCTTAGAATCCTTACTCTTGATGCACATAACTTGATTAAAATCTCTTATTTTCCTCTCTCATATCTTAACATGTTTGTATACCCTCTTCTTTCCCTCCTTATTATCTAGTCTAGTGTATAAGTCATCATAAGCTTTCAACTTAGCCTCTCTCACTACTTTCTTGACCTCCTTATTAGCCAATCTATAACTTTTAAGGTTTTCCTCAGTTCTATCATTTTGTCATTTTTTAAAATACTTTTTTTTTGCCTTAACTATTGCTTGAACCTCTTCCATCCACCACCAAGTTTTCCTAGAGCTGGGTCCCATTCCTATTGACTCTCCAAGCACTTCCCTTGAGATTCTCCTCATACAATTGGCCATCGAGTTCCACATAGTGTTAGCACCATCTTCCAAGTTTCAAGTACCTTCCTTATCCATTCTATTCTTAAATATTTCTAATTTATCCCCTTTTAGGTCCCACCATCTTGTCCTATGACGCCCACTATCCTTCCTAGCTTGGTATTGCCCTCTAAAACATAAATCTAGTATCAAGATTCTATGTTGAGAGGTCAGACTCTCTCCAAGAATCACCTTACAATCATTGTATTTTAGGCAGTCCACTTTTCTCACTAAGAAATAATATATTTGGCTCTTAACTGACCCACTCTTAAAGGTTATCTAATGCTCCTCCCTCTTCTTATACATAGTATTGGCCACTACCAAGTCAGAAGCCAATGCAAAATCTAAGATACTCTTTCCAGCCTCATTTCTGTCACCAAAATCGTATCCACCATGCACCCTTTCATAGCCTAGTTTATCTATGCCTACATGGCCATTAAAATCGCCACCTATAACCAGGTTCTCTCCTAGAGGTATCTCCTGTAAGATCTCATCCATTTGCTTCTAAAATCTCTCTTAGTCTAATCATCTAATCATACTTGAGGGGCGTATGCATTAATAACGTTCACTATATTCCCACAAATAACTACTTTAACTAATATAATCCTATCCCATTTCCTAATGACTGCCACTACATTCTTTACAAGTCCCTTGGCAATTAGGATTCCTACATCATTCCTGCGTCTATCCTTACCACTATAATACAGTTTAAAATCGGTATCCTCAATTTCCCTAGCTTTCTCACCCGTCCACTTAGTTTCTTGTACGCAAGCTATACTAACTCTCCTCCTAATCATAACATCTACCAACTCCATTGTCTTACCAGTTAAGATTCCTATATTCCAAGTGGTTATCCTAAACTTATAGCCTTGGACTAGCTTCTTTACCCGCGCTCGTCCAGCAAAACGCGGGAACCTTTGCCCAATTTTCACCGCACTGAGGCGTCGATGCGGCGCCCCTTGCTCACTTTTCGAAACACCCAGAGCCAAGCGCAACGCGTAACTTGAGGGAATCAACCTAGCATTTAAACGATTCAAAGTAAGATTCATTGTCATAAGGGATCCAAGCGGTTTTTTTTACGTGTTGGCTATTGGTTACCTAACACACAACCCTCCTCTTTAACCCGAGCTTGGGACCGGCAGAGTTGTTAACAACCCCGGCGGAGTTGAGCACAAAACAGTAAGGACATAATTCGACTACTGGATTAAAAGATATTGTCATTGAGGAAATCAAAAAAGACTTGAGTTGCTATAACTATCGTCTATAAATAGCACTCTCTTTCGCTTGCCATGAGCATGGACATGGGAGGGTATGTCTTTAGTAACTTGCCTTTTTTGCGAAATCCTTGGAGTGGTGTCTGGGCACTAGAATTCGCGTAGAGCCTCGCACACAAAATGTCATAACTTTCTCTGTGACCAGTGTCAACATCTGCTCTTCAAAATCATTAGTAACTTGTGAATATTGTAGTGGCATTGCAAAATCCTCTAGTTGTTGTGGTTATGGGTCAGTCATGGTGATTTGGGAGGTATTATACTCTTCTTCCATTTCGTGAGGTTCTGTCATATCTTTTGCCAAAGTGTGAGGTTCCGCCA